CCTCCCTCCCCCCCCCCCACAGTTATATCTTCTTTAATGGCATTCCCTACTTTACTCTGCCAGCTACAATGAAATTATACCACTTTATGTCCCCCGGCGACCTCCAGGCTCTGTTTGTCCCGAGGTTGTGTCCAATTTTATCCCTCCTCACCCCTTCCTCTTCCCCTCCTTTTCCCCTCCCCTCCACTCCTCTCCTCACCCATTCCTCACCCCACCCCTCCTCGCCCCAACCCACCCCACCCTTCCTTCCTTCCTTCCCTCCTTCCTTCCTTCCTTCCTTCCTTCCTTCCTTCCTTCCTTCCTTCCCTCCCTCCCTCGGACGTGAAGAGTAGGAAAATGTAACTGTCCACCATCTGTCTGTAATTAAAGATCACCTAACCCAGGGGTATCAAACTCATGGCCCGCGGGCCAAATGTGGCCCTTGGGATGGTCAGGTGTGGCCCGCGGGATGACGGTAAAATTTATCATCCCGTGAAATTATGAAAAAAATAGATAAAATCATGTTTATTTAGTAAAATGAATTTTACATACTTAAGATCAGACAAACCCAAATGAGGTATTCCTGGTAAGCCAGGTAAGGCAATGTGTGAAGCTGTAAACTTCAATCCTGCAAATATGTGATATAGCACCTGTGTTGGCCCTGAAGAGGGTAACTAAAATAAGAATTGGCCCTCGAAAGGTATTGAGTTTGACATCACTGACCTAACCTAACCTAGCCAAACCAAACCAAACCTAACTTAACTCCCCCAGGTAACGTTAGGGCAGTGGTTCTCAACCTTTCCACTCCATTCCCCCCTTGAGGAATTTTCAACATCCTCGTGGCTCTTCATTCCCCCACAAATAATGTTGAAAAATAAAATGCACAATATATGGTTCAGAGACAATACACTAAACTATTTTCGTGATTGTATCCCAGGCCAGACTGAGATCATTCGGTCCTATCACCACTTGCAAAGGGATGACTCACGGACACGTACTGAACAAGTCAGTTCAGCAGCTGGGTCCAGCGCCTGTCACACAGACAGGGACTGGACCTGTGAAATCTTAAATAATCCGCAAAAAAAAAAAAAAATAAATTAGCACCAGAGTATGTAAATATTAAAATTGTATTGTCGTTATGATTAAACAAAATGACAAAACAAGAATGAAAATTCTCTTCTGTCAAGTCAAAATAAGTAATACAAGTTTTGTTTAATTCAGATTCCCAACATTATTTGGAAACGTACAATTTATAACAGCTCGCCGTGGCTCCCCTAAATTCTTGCCGTGGCTCCCTTGGGGGCCATGGCCCCCAGGTTGAGAACCACTGCGTTAGGGTGTTTAATATTCAGGTGAAATAAGCTAGGGTGTCTAATTTTCAGGTGTCCCGTAATTACTAATCTCCGTAGACACAGTTGATTTTTTCTTCCGTTTCCTCGATATTAGCTGCTTGTAGGTATGTATGGGGGTTCGGTTAGGGTAGGTTAGGTTGGGTTAGGTTGGGAAGTGAGGGTAGGTTAGATTAGGAAGTGATGGTATGGTAGGTTAGGGTAGGGTAGGTTAAGAGGTTGGGTTAAACATGAATAGGTTAGTTTAAATTTGGATGGGTCAGGTTAGTTTAAGTTAGATTTGGTTAAATTAAGAAAAAGTACAGACTTGGAAAGGGGCAAAGGAAATAGCTGTAATTATGAAAAGGAGAGAGAGAGAGAGAGAGAGAGAGAGAGAGAGAGAGAGAGAGAGAGAGAGAGAGAGAGAGGTTGGACTGAGAAAAAAGTGAAAGAGCGAGAGAGAGGGGGAACCTTATGTTTAGCATAATTACCATACAGGTGTGCCCAGGTGGAGAGATAGGCCAACATCACCCTGCTCAGGTTACCGTGGATTATCACAAAGTTTGGGATTAAGTCACCTCTGTTTGTCAGCCTAGGTGAGGGGGCTAGAGGAAGAGCGAGGGATGAGGGAAGGAATGGGTGAGGGGGACGTGAAGGGAGGGGAAAGGGGCGGGAAGGGAGGGGAAGGGGCGGAAGGGAGGGAAGGGGCGTGGGAATGGAGGGAAGGGGCGTAGAAGGGAGGGGAGGGGTGTGGAAGGGAGGGGAGGGGCGTGGAAGGAAAGGATAGGTAAGGTATGGGTGGAGGGGCGTGGGTGAGGGGGCGTGGAAGGGAGTGGGAGGTAAAGTATGAGGGAGAGGGGCAAGGGAGATAAAAGAGGGGGGGAGAGCGAGGAAGGAAAGGGGAGGTGGAGAGACGATAAGTATGAGAGGTGGGGGAAGAAGAGTAAGAAAGAAGGAAGCAAGCGGTTGAGAGGAGGAAGGAAGGAAGGAAGTGATCGTGGAAGAGGAGGACAATAATGGAAAGGAACAGGGAAAGAAGGGGAACTGGACCAGCTGTGAGGGACGGAGGAACTCACAGATGGTTCAGCTTGTTGTGTTCTTGCCAGCTGGTACCCCACGCCTTCACCACCACCTGACCTTCATCCACTTACCTGATCCGTCCACGACCTGTCACGACCTACCATGACCCCACACGACCTCCCACGACCTGTCACGACCTACCATGACCCTACACGACCTCCCACGACCCCTCACGACCCATTACGATTTCCCCCACAATATGGAAGGAAGATTTGGATATCACCAACTAAGGTGCTTCCCTTCGTACCCTCCCTCCCTCCCTCCCTCCCTGCTGGTTTTTTTTCTGCCTCCCTGATGATACTTTGTCTCCCTGTTAACTCTTTCCTTCAGATTAATCTTTCCTCCCTTCACCCTTTTTCTCCATTCTTCATTTATTCCCTCCTCTTACCCTCCCTTAATCACTCTTTTTCCTCTCCTTCCTCTCTCACAGGTTTATCTCTCTCTCTCTCTCTGTGTGTGTGTGTGTGTGTGTGTGTGTGTGTGTGTGTGTGTGTGTGTGTGTGTTAAGCCATTCCCCCTCTGTCTTCTACCGTTTTCTTTCGCCATATTCCTCGCCTTGTTTTCTGTTGTTTTCTCCCATCTTTGTTGACCTCCTATACTTCTCTCTTAGTATCTCCTTCCTCCTCTCTCACCTCCTTCCTCCTCCTCCACTTTCACTTCCTCCTTCCTTCTCCACTTCACCTCCTCCTTCCTCTTCTACCTCCTCCTCCACCTCCTTCTCCTCACTTCTTTAGCCTTCCCTCATTATCCTCCTCACTTTCCCCTCCTCATCTTAGTTCTCCCTCTCCTTATGCTTTTCCCCCCTTCCCTTCTCCAATGCATTCTCCTCATCCGCCTCCACTGTCTCTACTCACGTCTCTCCCTCCTCATCCCCTCACCTCCCTCCCCCCTCACACTCCCCGGCCAGTCAACCCCTTTCTCAAAATCTTCTTTCGCTGACCCATACATCTTAACTTTTTCATGGGCCGATTTTTCCCTGTTGCTCCTGTCTGTTAGTCCCCCCACGCCATGTTGTCTGTCTGTTCTCTGTTTGTATATTTTGTCTTATTTGTTATCTGTTGACTGAATGTCTGTATCTCTTGTGTGTTGACTAGCCTGTGTTCTGTAAAGACCTTATTGCTGTTAATATTGTCGCCAACTTACCCTTTAGTTTTTATGCTGTATTGATTATATTAATAATAATAACAATACTGATAATAATAATAATAATAATAATAATAATAATAATAATAATAATAATAATAATAATAAAAAGTTTATTATTGAAACAACAACATCAGCAGCAACGACACCAACAACAACAACTGGAAAGAATAATTGAAATTTATGAAGGTAATTTCAGCCATTATATTTGTATTAAAGAACTGGGCTCGTGCGTGACTGTTTTACATATTGCTTTCCATCAAAAAAAAGATGAGTAATTGTTAGTTGATTAGTTAGCTAAATTTAGTTAGTTAGTTTGCTATAGTTTGTTTGTTATAGTTAGTTATAATTAGGTAGTTTTAGTTGGTTAGGTGAATAGTAAGTTATAATTAGTTATTGTTTGCTAGATAGCTAAGTTAGTTAGTAAGGTGAATTAGCCTGCCATTGTTCGTGGTTGGAAAAATATTCTGAAAGATAAATTGGACGATTTTTTTTAATGTGATTGTGTGTACATTTACTAAGTTGATGGCCGCTGGCTTAATGTACATTGATCGTGGGGTAGGGTTGGTGTACACGACACACACACACACACACACACGGGTGCATTTCCCGACTGACTTTCTGAGGGACACTTTCCGACCATTACCTCTCTGTTGTTAGGTGTGTCTCGTGGTCCCCTCCCTCTTGTACCGCTGTCAGGGGAATTGTGTTTAGCTGCGTTATTAGATTTAGTTAGTCAGCTCCATGTATGCCTTTCATGGCTGACCTAATGAAGAAACGT